AAAACTAACATTGTATTGTAATTGACTTTTCAAAATTTACCTGTTTCACCAGAATTAATCGTTTATCTAATTAAGTTTTGACATGTAATGCAGATATTTTACCTGATTTTCTGAAAGTACCATGTTATTGTAATTGTTTTTTCAAAATCTACCTGTTTTGCCAGTATTAATCATATATCTAATTTATTTTGACATGAAATGCGATTATTTTACCTGATTTTCTAAAACTAACATTGTATTGTAATTGATTTTTCAAAATCGACCTGTTTCACCAGACTTAATCGTTTATCTAATTAAGTTTTGACATGAAATTCAGATATTTTACCTGATTCTCTAAAACTAACATTGTATTGTAATTGATTTTTCAAAATTTACCTGTTTCACCAGGACTAATCATTTATTTAATCAAGTTTTGACATGAAATGTAGATATTCCACCTAATTCTCTTAACCTAACATTGTATTGTAGTTGCTTTTTCAAAATCTACCTATTTCATCAGAACTTATCATTTATCTGATTAAGTTTTGACATAAAATGCAAATTTTTACCTGTTTTCCTAAAAGTAATATTATATTGTAATTGCTCTTTCAAAACCTACCCGTTTTACCAGAATCAATCATTGCGTTACATTTTCCAGTGACTCCCTGAAAGGTAGATCGCAGTTGAGCAAAGTTATTGAAAAAAAAAACATATGAAAATGCAAACCTTAATGTTAGATATCACCAAATGGTTTCCTTAACGAAAACGTACTGTACAAATTCAACACTTTACCTGGCGCTGCAAATCCATCTCTCAGAACTTGACATCATCTTTCGCGGAAAGGAGTTTCTCTCAACGGTAGATTGAGAAGTTGTGAGGAAGAGACACAAACAATATACTGAGAGATACGTCAATATGTGACACCCTTTTTATGTATCCTCAATTTTCTGATTATATGAAACAGAGATTTCAAATTAAATGGATTTACATAATTGTTCGGATCGATATCAGATTGTGTTCACATAGTAACATATCTAGAGAATTTTTTTCTCAATCTGAAATAGTTTGATACGTTTGTAAATCGAGTGGAATATTTCACATACAAACAAATTAATAGGGAGCCTCAAATTTATGTGATGCTATTCGTCCACATTGGGAGGCATTATGTTTGTTGGACAATATCACAAAACATTTTACAGTTTATATAATGATGTAAAAAACGATAATTTCCTAGACAACTTTTCATGAAAACTCATGTATAGAATGAGGAAAGTGATATTTTAAAAACTCTGATGGTTATGTCGATAAACATATGGTAACACATTTATTCATAATACAACTACAACATATCAAAAACGTATCTTAACTTTCAGATTTGAGGATCTTGCAGAAAAATGTATTCTAAACATTGAATGCAAATTCAAGTACTTAAAATAAACAAATTAAATGATTTGAATGTTGTATCCTTGGTATATGAATATGGCTGATGAGTCCTTGAAACTTTTTCGACTGTCGTCATTTCTGTCTAAAAATTTGTTGAACATATCAATGATTCAACAAAACCATACAAATTCCAGTGGCAACTGTTAAGGTATACAGTATAGGTTCAGTGCAAACTCAAACACCGAAATTTACCTAATTTTCAACAACTATCGAAACAAAAGACCAATCTGATTTTTTTTTAAATTATCAGTGAATAATTATTAATGAAAAATAAATGATTTCAAAGGGAAATTTTGGTGCAATAATAATAATTTGTTATTAATCTATTGACCATATTATTGTTTCATAANATTATTTTTCCTTATTATCTAACAATAACCTCGGGTTTGGCATTGACCTTTGGATTACTTCAAGGTCAAGGTCACTTTTTTAAATGAGAACCTATATTTTTATCATGGAAATAAAAGTAGGGACTTGACTTGACTATGAGCCAAAGAATCAGGTGTTTAGAATTTTTCATGGTTATCTGACGATAACCTCGGTTTCGATGTTGACCTTGTGAATTATTTCAAGGTCAAGGTCAGTTTTGTTTTTAATGAGAATCTATATCTTTACCATGGAAACGAAAGTAAAGACTTGACAATGAGCCAAAGAATCAGGCGTTTAGAATTTTTCATGGTTATGTGAATGCAAAATTTCAAAAAACAAAAACAAAATAACTGATTTTCTTTGCAATATCGACAAATAATTTTTGTGATAACTTTTTAATATATTATAGAGTAACACTATAATCCGTACGTCCTCAAATTGTCAAAAATAATAGAATAGACACATGCTTGAGCAGCTGACGTGGAAAACTATACATAGTGTTGTGGAAAAAGGTAATTTGGAAATATGATTCATTCAAGTATTATATAACTATTCGGAGTTCCTAAAGAAGAAGAGATATCACAGAAGTTCCGGGACCAATCTCTGAAATTTGGGTCAATCAAAGACCCAAAACTTTACGAATTGTGAGTTTCTCAAACATAAAGAAACGCTTGCAGTCAAGTGTTCCTTTTTTTTTTTAGAAAAAGACCAACACGTTCAACATAACTTGAACTGGACAAAACTAGAACACCTTTTAAAAATTGATACCTAAGAAAATATTGTATATCAACAGCCCAGACTTCAATTCGACATAAAATTATGTAGCATCAATTGTGAAAAATTCTGCGTAGCAACATTTGAGATACTCGAAATCATGAGGTATCCCGCTCAAAAAAATTTTCACATATTCAAAACTGTGACATGTGTTTCCCTATACAATATCACCCTCAGGCGTATCGTGAAGCCTGTAAACTTTCAAAATGAAATCTGACACGAAAGTGTGTTTTTTGAATAAGTATTAGTCAGTTCTATCATACATTTCAAAAAAGTTTCCTCAATGGGGACAAAACCCTGCAACGTCATTGAACTGCTTTTAAATAATTCACGCCCCCCGATGTACAAGGTATTATCCGACTTACCGTTTCTCTCCGCTGGTTCTTCTCCTCTTTTTCTCGTTTCCTTACTTCTATCAAGTATTCGTTGAAAAGGCTCTCCCGTTCGCGCATCTTTTCGACGCCTTTGAAGCGCTCCTCTTTCGCATACTTTTGTGCAAAATCACTGAATGAAGACCTGCAAGAAAATCATATCATTGCTTTGTGATCTTGAATGAAATTTTTATAATGTTTGGAAAACTTATTTTCATTACTATTCTCCTTCATGTCCTTTTTTTTGTCTCCTCTTTTTCTTTCCCCCTTTTACTTTTTCTATTTCCCTTTCCCCTTTTTTGTATTGCCTCATTCATTCTTTTCCTTTTTGTGTCTTTCAATTTCTTTGCTTTTTGTGTTCTATCATTTTACTTCTCCTTTTTTCCTCTTCTTCTATTTTCCCTCCATTGCCCCAATGTCTAAACTCCCATCCCCATTCTAAGGTATGCAGAAAATTTGGGTTATAATATTAAGGTATGAATGTTTGAAAAAATTATTTTCATTACTATTCTTCTCTTTCATGTCCTTTTTTCTGATCTCCTCTTTTTCTTTTTCCCCCTTTTACTTTTTCTNCTTCAAAATTGGAATTTTGAAAATTTCATTAAAAATGTCTCTCCTTCATACAAAACATTTTGGACACTAGTGAAATAATTTCATACAAATCAGATCCTGAAAAAAAAAGAAACACTTGTTGGTCTGAAATAGAAATACGGAAATTTTTTCAATGGGAACAGTTAATAATATTACATTGTAGATAAAAAACGCAAATCAGATCCTCAGCTTAATGAGGAGCTGAAATCATTTCTAGTAGAGAAAAAAAATTATGAAAATCACTGGCCATTCTAAACGTGTACAGATTGTTCAAAATTTTTCTAATTCAACCCATGAAATAAATCACAACAAAATCAATTGAACAGTATTCTGCTATTTGAGTGATGTTAATAATAGTTTAATTTATTGTATTATTTAATTTCAGTTAATTATTCAATTCTACTGAAGAAAATATAAAATGCTCGGATTCAACAACTCAAATAAAATTCCCCACATTTTTCATAGAAACTAAAAAAAAATCGGGAAGCTAGATTAGCCTCTTCTACAAGAAATTCTAACTGAACAAATCAAATCAGCAATTATGAAAAATTACGTGTTGAAGACTCATACTGAAGTATGAGTACTATCTTTCTCCATTATATTTAACAACTAACTTGTAGGTTTTTAGTACCGTCAAATAAAAATAAGGCCCATCGTCGACAAACGGCTTGACATTGGACTGGAATCTCGATGACCTGCTGACCTGAGCCATCTGATCTGGTTGATACAAGACAAGACCTTGTCACTGCAGCTCTTGAAAAAGTAATGATGCTAGATAAAAGACTTCTCATTTACTACATTTTTCTTTACATAAATTCTTTTTCGATTTGATTCTTGCAACTGCAATCTACCTTTGTACAAGATTGGGAGGAATATAATGAAAAGTAACCAAACTTTATAGCCAAATATTGGAAAATGATTTTTTTGATCCAACACGGTTCAATCATAATTAGAAAATCATTATCGATACAGTAGCATTGATTTTTATTTTAATTCAAATGTTAAGAAATTTTAGAAACTGTATTGTAATCGCTTTTACAAAATTTACCTGTTTCACTAGAATTAATCGTTTATCTAATTAAGTTTTGACATGTAATGCAGATAAAAAGTAACATTGTATTGTAATTGCTTTTACAAAATTTACCTGTTTTACCAGAATTAATCGTTTATCTAATTAAGTTTTGACATGAAATGCAGATATTTTACCTGATTCTCTAAAACTAACATTGTATTGTAATTGACTTTTCAAAATCGACCTGTTTCACCAGAATTAATCGTTTATCTAATTAAGTTTTGACATGAAATGTAGATATTTTACCTGATTCTCTAAAACTAACATTGTATTGTAATTGATTTTTCAAAATTTACCTGTTTCACCAGAATGAATCGTTCATCTAATTAAGTTTTGACATGTAATGCAGATATTTTACCTGATTTTCTGAAAGTACCATGTTATTGTAATTGTTTTTTCAAAATCTACCTGTTTTGCCAGTATTAATCATATATCTAATTAATTTTGACATGAAATGCAGATATTTTACCTGATTTTCTGAAAGTACCATGTTATTGTAATTGTTTTTTCAAAATCTACCTGTTTTGCCAGTATTAATCATATATCTAATTAATTTTGACATGAAATGCAGATATTTTACCTGTTTTTCTAAAAGTAACATTGTATTGTAATTGCTTTTACAAAATTTACCTGTTTCACCAGAATTATTCATTTATCTATTTAAGTTTAGACATGAAATGCAGATATTTTACCTGTTTTTCCAAAAGTACCATGTCACTGTGATTGTTTTATCAAAATCTACCTGTTTTGCCAGTATTAATCATATATCTAATTTATTTTGACATGAAATATACC